AAAGATGAGGTATGGATGCTCCTCTTAGTGACCCCAAAGTCCCCTGGTCTGAGGGACTTTGTCACCTGCCATTCATCATGGGGTTTGACTTCTTTCCTTTCTCTTCATGTAGATGCTGAGGTTCATCTTGTCTTTTTTTAAGATTTAAGAACCAAGTGATCTTGTCAGCTGGCTTTTTATCAAAAAAGATTTGTGAAGTTGAGTCCTCCATTTTTTATATATATATATATGCACACACATAATTTATATATATTATATGTATATATTATTATGTATAATATGTATATATTATGTATAATATGTGTTAATATATACCCATATTATGTATAATATGTGTACATATACTATATATTAATAATATATATATACATATATATTTTTTTAATTGCTTCTAGTTCGATCACAGGGCAGTCCCGTCTCTCGATACGGTGCATGAAGATTTTATTCCATTCCTATTGATTTCCGTCTGGTCATCTCAAATCAGGAGGTGAAAGAGCTTTTCTCCTTAGCATATTTGATAAATGAGAATTGAACCAGAAAAGCCTGAACTTTGTGACAGGCTAAAAAGGTTTCCCTCTGGGAAATTAAGATTCATTAACTGGAAATGGTGAAAAGTGACAAGTTTAAAGGAAACTCAGTTGAGTAATTAAAAATGTATCAAGCCCTGTACAGTAGGCAGTCGACACAACATAGTAAAAGAAAAATAGCATCTCTGAGGTCTTGTTGGATACTGTCCATGTTGATTTTGGACAATGCCCCAGCGTCTGGGGGAAAAACTGCTCTTAAAACTGGAATGTAGAACATCGAGAGATGTCAGCACTGCCAGAGTGATTGTACCATAAATACCTCATTATTTATGGGCACTAAGCGACCCATAAAGGGTACTGGACATTTTAATACCCTGTTCTTGAGTGGGGTGGAATGCTTTTGGATTTAGGATTTAGGTGATTTAGGAATATGAGGTTTAGAAAATGGGCTCAAGGAGAGTCTTGGAGTTTCCAGTGCCAGGGGATATAGAAAGTCGATCAGAAAGGCAGTTAAGAATTACATTTATGTACATACTTACTTCAACATTGGCAGGTGTGTTACTTACAAATAAAATCAGTTTCATTTGGAAAAGGGAGCTCCAGTCTTAAAGACACTGAAATGTTTTTAACATCTCCTCTCTGGAAAAACCCTCTCTGTTTTTATAAGCTGGTGTGTGTTTGGGAAAGATATAGGAACCCAGTGCTATACCATATCCATCCATTCAAGTTCTTTCCAACAATTTGTATTAAATGAAGAGAGGAGAGGTCTTTTGGTGATTAATGGAGCTTACTAAACACAGATGTGGTAAAGCCACAGTGAAGAGGGAAGAGACATTCTGAAGTTTGCAGGCAGAAGATAAGGAAACATGATGGACAGATGTTGAAAGGAACATTTAGAAGCAGCAGGAAAACCTTTCAGTGAATAAAGACGATGGGTAGGAGGCAGGATAGAGAAGGCAAGTGTTCATTTCTTTGTCTTTAGGGAAGCATCTTAACACTCTCCAAAAGGAAAAAAAAAAAAAACAACAAAAGGAGGAGGAGAGCAAGCAGCCACCATTCCTTAGGGACCTCCTTTGGACCGAGGCTGAATCTCTTCTGAGCACTGGGCACACACTCCAAGTAGGTGCCTCAATTATAATAATTAAATTTGTTGAGCCCTTCAGTGCGCCAGGCACTGTGCAAAGTGTGGATTTATGTCATCCTCCCCTCTGAGCCTCAGAGCACCCTCTGAGAGAGACGATGGCGTCCCCACTTCACAGATGAAGAAACTGAGACTTAGGGAACTTGGTCCTTGCCCCACAGGCAGCCAGAGGGGGAGTGGGTCCATCTGTTTTGTTTTTTTTTTCTAGAAAAGCCCATGTTTCTTCTAGACTGCCTTGTCACTTTCACAAGCGTCAGATTCTACCATGAACGAATTTATTAGTTGAGCATAACACTCCCCCAAAACATGGCATGGAACTGCTATTGTTCACCAAGCACTGCTGAAGAAAAGTTCATTCAAAACTATGTCCATGAAGATGGATTCAGGTCCATATCTGCTTGATTTTATTCTTCCTTGATAGTTTTTTTTTTTTCTTAAAGATTTTATTCATTTATTTGACAGAGATCATAAGCAGGCAGAGAGAGAGGGGAGAGAAGCAGGCTCCCTACTGAGCAGAGAGCCTGACTCGGGGCTCGATCCCAGGACTCTGGGATCATGACCCGAGCCGAAGGCAGAGGCTTTAACCCACTGAGCCACCCAGGTGCCCCAACAGGTGTTTTTTTTTTTTTTTAATAGAACCTGTTACCATGCCCCAATTTCTCATTGCCAGCTCTGCGTTTTCAATAAGTCAGGGGTGAGTTGGGAAGAATGGTAGATGCTCTGAGTGCTATGCTCCAGGGAACCCCTGATCCACTCCAGGGTGCCCTGCCTAAACCAGAAGTGGTGGGAATATTGCTCACGGGCTGAAGGGCCCCATGGAGCGAGGACAGGAGTGGGGTGGTTTGCGGTTTCCATTTGTCTCCCATTTGCCGGTGGAGAACATGATGAGCTGTGCAGTTCTGTAGGGTGGAATCCCACACATCCCTACCCCCAGAAGACTCGATGACCTCTTTTCCCAGGGCTGGAGCTTTATGGCAAATCTTCATTCATGGAACCCTGAAATGCAGCCCTAAATCTTTCTTGATATTTCGAATGTGCTTTTTCTATAACTGAATTACTGCCTGGCTTTTAGAAATACTGATCTAGTGTATGATTGGCTTGGCTGTACTAGGATTCGTTTTAATGGGATTGTGGGGGGTGCCACTATCCCCTCTTGCTTCTTTCTCTCATTACATCAGATTTCCTAACTTCTGCTTCAGGCTTCCCTCTGTGGAAAAGCTGGGCAATCTCCCAGGTGCTTAGGTCTTGCTGCCTATATGGACCCATGGCCCCCATGTCTTTCTCACTTCTGGGTGTCTGCACTTAGCCCGGTACCCGGCACACAGCACGCCCTCAGTAAATGCTGGTCAAGTAGATTAATAAATGGAAACTCTCTACCATGTGCTTTGATCATGACATCCTTATACCCTTCCTTCACTGCCACTAGATGAGAACTAGGCATTCGTATGACCTCTCAAAATGACTGTTTCTTCTGACAGCCAGAGAGCATAGTCACAGCATTGTATAATTGTCCCTTAACTGAATCATCAGAGGTGAGGCAAGTACAAAGCGCCTTATCTCAGTAATAAAATAGATTCTATCTCTTGTAATCTGTGGAAGGAAAAACACCATTAGAGTGTGGCGCTCTTGCTTAACTTGTTTCCTTTTCCTGTGTCTTGATGAGATGGAGTCCTCTTCCCAAGTCAGCTGGAGGGAGGCAGGACTCGGCTGCAATACACATGAGTCACGGTATCATCAGGTTTATCCTCTCCACTGGGGACAGTGTGCTTCCTTATAAGACTTTTTCTGTAAGTTAAAGTTTTGTCCAGAATTGTGTCTGTCCCAAACTTGTGTTTAACATAACCATTTTGGTGGAAGCATTTAAATTAATTATTTCTTATATGGATACTGATCATGTATTAAGATTTATTATGGTATCTTAGTGAGAATTTAGTTGGTTTTTTTTTTTAAGATTTTATTTATTTATTTGACAGACAGAGATCACAAGTAGGCAGAGAGACATCCAGAGAGAGAGGAGGAAGCAGGATCCCTGCAGAGCAGAGACCCCAATTTGGGGCTCGATCCCAGAACTCCGGGATTATGACCTGAGCTGAAGGCAGAGGCTTTAACCCACTGAGCCACCCAGGTGCCCTGAGAATTTAGCTTTTTAAACCTAGAAGTCACAAAGAATAAGATTGACAGATGTGACGAGTGAAAATAGAAAACTTCTATATATTTACCATTTAAGTAAAAAGAAAAAAAACAACTGGATAAGAAGAATGTTTCCAGTTAATGAAAAGAGTCATTTAAATGTCTAGTAAGCATGTAATAAAGTAAAAATCAATACCCCCATTCCTGGGAACAACTTAATATTCCATCAATAGGGAAACTGTCAGTACATTCTAGTAACGGTACTATGTGCTGCCTTTTTTTGAGTGTCTACCACATATTTCATATACATTGTCTCATTTAATCCTCATAAATCCATCCATAAATGGAATTCTATAAAGCTATAAGAAGTATGATATATATTTTATTTTTATTGAAATATATAAGAAGTATTTTGACATAGAAATATATTCATGATATATGAAATTGAAAATACAAAACAATATGTCCCATTTCTATAAGGAAAAATACATAAATAGTCTGATAGAATAGATGAAGATATGAATCCAAACAGTGCAATAGAAATCACAAACAGGTGATGTGATTATAAGATGAATTTTTTTCTTTTCTTTTCTTTCTTTTTTTTTTAAGATTTTATTTATTTATTTGACAGAGAGAGATCACAAGTAGGCAGAGAGGCAGGCAGAAAGAGGGGGAAGCAGGCTCCCTGCCAAGCAGAGAGTCCGATGTGGGGCTCGATCCCAGGACCCTGGGATCACGACCCAAGCCAAAGGCAGAGGCTTAACCCACTGAGCCACCCAGGCGCCCCAGGATGTATTTTTTTTATGCTTATCTTTATTTTCCAATTTTCTATCTTGTAGAAGTTACTTTAAAATTTCACACACATTGCAAATTTACTTAAGTCCAATTTCTTTTTAATGGATTACATTGTTACCCTACATCTTCAGAAAGTGTGTACTGAGCATAAATTAAGCCATTTTGGACTTAAAGCTCATTATCATGGGCAAGAAAATCACTGTTCCTCAGCTAGAGAGGAATTTTATTACTGCATTGTACAGAAAGGCAAGGCTGTCAAGGAACCACTGTGGTTAACATTATTTGTCTCTATATTAATCTGTAAGCTCAAGATTCCTTTTCTTTCCTTTCTTTCCTTTTCTCCATTTCCTTTTGTCTTGGGATCAAGTGGCTCGTCCCAACAGGGGTGCACATTAAAATCTCCTAGGAGCTTTGCGCAGTGGCAGTATCGTAGCCAATGAGGTTTATCCGAGGCGCGATTATTGCTAATTGAAAATCTCCTAGGAAACTTAAAACAATGTCTCACTGCCTTGACCACTGGAATAGAGTTTTTGATTTGGTAGGCCTGAGGTGGGTCCCTGGTGACTCCATTTAAAACAGACACCGCAGTTTCCCCAGGTGATTCCGACCCTTGTGCCTCCTTGAGGGTCAGTGTTCGAGTCAGCATTTTCTGCTGCTGTTAATCTGCTGCCTGATTTTTCTGAGATGCCTTGGGATGAGGACCCCAAGAAGGGCTTCTTGTTTCTCCCCACAAGTAAGAGCAGTTATTCTCACCCTTGTTCAGATGATGCGATACCTGAACCTTTAGTCCTCCTTGCAGGATGTGATGAAACGCCACGACACCTAATTCTCCTACAAAAACTGGGCACAAGTTTATTAGGAGGTTGGAGAGTGCTTTCCGTGTTGCCTCCGTCCAGACTCTGTTGCTTGCAAGTCCTGGGAACTCACTTGGAGTAGCTCAAGACAAAACACAGCCTGTATTATCAGGACACCGGGGTAGAGTTCGTGGAACTGTGGTGCAGGAAGCACAAAAGCTCTAAAGTCCTCTTCACTTTTGCTTTCTGCTTCTCTCCGCCCTTGGCTGCCAACCACCACCCTTCAGACCAGGGAGTTCACAATCTCCCAAGTTGAAACGAGGAGCAATGGCTTCCTCCTGTTTTGCAGCCCCGCCTCTACTTTCTTTAGAGCCTCTGATTGGCCAGATGTGGGTCAGGTGTGTAGTCATCATCCAATCAGCTGAATCTTGGGGGGGGGGTGGATCAGTTCCGATAAACATGGTTGCCAAGGGAAGAAGTGTAGCTGTGTGTGGCGTGGGGGAGGGATGACGCTCTACATTTTCTATATTTTATTTTACCAATTAGCATAAACCCCACTTCCTGTACACACAGACACACCTCTACGCCATATAACCAGCTGGCGGCTACAAATCTTATTCCCCATCCTGGATGAGAGAGTATTCAAAGTCCCGTTAAGCTGCAGCAAAGCAAAGGCTCCTAGTCCCCAGGTAGGACCACCCTCCACCTGCCATATATGGAGCAAACAATTAGGTCAAACCATCACAGCAGACCCAGTATGCAGCACTAGGAGGAAAACGAGACAGAATTGCAACACAGATTGGCTTTTGGAAAAAGCAATGGGAGCTAGGAAACCCCACTGTAGCATGTCCTGTTACCACCCACTGGTGCAGAGCCCTACAGCATCTGACCACCAGGGAGAAGAAGGTGAAACCCCCACTCTTTATTATTTTTTTAAGGTCTTATTTATTTATTGGAGAGAGTGAGAAAGAGATAGTGAGAAAGGGCAGGAACTGGGAGGAGAGGGAGAAACCGGCCAGGGAGCCTGATGTGGGACTCAATCCTAGGACCCTGGCATCATGACCTGAGCCAAAGGTAGTCGCTTAGCCAACTGAGCTACCCAGGTACCCAAACCTCCAGCCTTTAAAACATGCTTATCAACATCCACTCAAAGTGACTTAAGCAGACAAGGAGAGTACATCACAAAGACCCAAGCCCTCTCTCAATGTCCTGGAACAGAAAATTTGGAAGATCCTCAGGAGACATCACTCTCTCGGACTTTCTCTGGGTCTCCTGCACCTGCCTCACATTTCCCTTTCTACGACTCTGTGCATCCAGCTCTAACTTGGAGGTTCCTCAAAGGCTTTAAAACACAAATTAGAGGACCCAGGTGTTTCTACGGCAGGGTTCTCCAAGTACCACTGGATCCACACATAAGTTTAGGTGATACCATATGGAAAATATTGTATTTTTAATAGGTATTTAATTGATATTTAATTTGAAGTTACAGAAATGGCAGACATACAAAAAACCCTCTGTGATTTCTTGCTCTCACTGCTTAGGATGAAATTTAGAATTTTAAAATGCTGCAATTTATATAACCACTCACACGGAAGGTCAAGTGACTGTATCACAGACAGAGTCCTCTGGAGACCATAAAAGTCTCATCCAAATTGCTTGGGGAATGCAGTTGGTCTCATTGATTGGCTTCTCTTGCCATCAAGCAGTACTAGGATCCCATTATAAACCTTTAGAAGACAATTTTGTATTCATCTTTTGAAATTAAAGAATAGAGGTGCCTGGATGGCTTAGTCGGTTAAGTGTCTGCCTTCGGCTCAGGTCATGATCCCGGGATCCTGGGATTGAGCCCCACATCGGGCTCCCTGCTCAGCTGGGAGCCTACTTCTCTCTCTCCCTCTGCTGCTGCCCCTCCTTGTGTGTGCTCCTCTCTCTGTCAAATAAATAAATAAAACTTAAAAAAAAAAAAGAATAAAAATCACCCATTATCTCCCTAAGCAGAGTCACCACTTCTGTTTTTGTGGATTTCCTTCCAAATTGTACTTTGTACAATTGTACTTTGTACTTTGTAGGATTTTCACATAGTTGAGATGAAATACTTCTAAAATACATTAGTCTACACCTTTTTGCACCAAAAACCAAGTTAATTAATTAATTAATTAATTACATTATTCCATTCTTCTATCTCAGCAAGTAGACCTTTGTTCAGGATTCTGCCCTGCCTCCAACACTGTTACAAACAGCCACCAAGTCTGCAGAGGATCAGAAATGGAACTCTCTCTACTCTGTTTCAGCCCACCTCCTTGGTGACTTCAGTATATGCTCTAAATAAATCTCTGATACAACTTGTTTCTTATTAATGGCCTCCTTTTCCTAAAATTTGAGGGTATGATAAATCCCAAGAAAAATAGAAATACCCATTAGTCGGGTTCTAGACAATTGGGGATTGACTGATTTCTGTGAGCTTTTAGACAGGTTGTTTCTGGCTCAACAACTTCCCATGTTGCACAACTGGGAGTAAGGTGCTGATCATTTAGGCAAGCTCTGAGGACCCTAGATGAAAGGCATTGATTGCTATCACAGAGCACAGTAGACTCCGTGGGATCGAAACAGCACATCAGCACTTGTCAAAACTTGACCATAGAGCCAAAGAGTAAAATACACTTGGGTGTGATATTTGCAGAATTATTCAGAAGGGTTTGGAACATCTGCTTAAGGGAGAAAGTCCCAGAAGCACATTCATTCTCCTACCCAATAAATATGTTTTTTCCTTCCAGAGGAAGCAAGCAGGGCAAACAGCCCCCCCCAAATTTGGTGTATTTGGCTTTGACGTACAGAATGGTTTCTTCCCCTCCAGCAAACGTCCTTTTCTGGTTGGTACAGACAGCCTGACTAACGGCCCAGCTTGGGAGTTTTCCTGAGTTGTGGTTTTATTAGCATATTACCCCAGGCTCAGATTTCTCCTGCCTTTCTCTTCACAATTCAATATTAAAATTAATTTGCTTTTCTCTGTGTTAGAAGGGCGTAAGGGCTTGGATAAGCCCTTGGATAAAGTTTCTTTGGCATTTGTCCCACTTTGGTGTAAATAGTGTAGGTCATCTCACTCAGATAATTAGGTATTAGCCATAAATAAAGAACTAAATGCAACTGGGATGCCTGGGTGGCTCAGTGGGTTAAAGCCTCTGCCTTCGGCTCGGGTCATGATCTCAGGGTCCTGGGATCGAGCCCTGCATTGGGTTCTCTGTTCAGCAGGGAGCCTGCTTCTCCCTCTCTCTCTGCCTGCCTCTCTGCCTATTTGTGATCTCTCTCTCTCTGTCAAATAAATAAATAAAAATCTTAAAAAAAAAAAAAAAGAACTAAATGCAACTAAAAAGAGCTTTTGTGGAGAAACCTGATGCAAAGAAGCGAGTTTGCTTTCCACCCTAAAAGCTCCGTAACAGGTGCCACGGCTGCATTTTTTGTGACTTAATTTTTTTTTTTTTTTTTTTTTTTTGTCAGTGGGTGGTTCTCAAGCCTTAGTGGTATTTAAACCCTAGTGAAATTTGAGTTGGAAGTTGATTCTGCATAATGAAATTACACTTAATAAGCCACTTTCTAGCTGGTACTGGCGACCTCCAGGACAAAAGGCTTTTCCTTTTCCCGGAGAGAAAATTGCCTGCCTCATGAAAGACGAAGGCCTCATCAGCCCCAGGGTGATTAGGTAGACCTCTACGTCTGCAGCCGCAGATTGAACAAGGAAAACAGTAATTTCGTCAAATTAGTAGTGGTTATTTTTACAGCTGTCATTTGTACACATGAAACAGTGGAATAACTTTGAAAAAATATTCTGAACAGCTGCCACTTTTAAAATCACATTTGCATCCAAGACCTAAGGTATTTGACTCCAACAGATGCTTCTGTGTTCTTTACAAGGAGGCGGGCCTCAGCTTACTGCTGGAATTACTGCTGCCAGGGGCTTGGAGCCTCTGTGTCTTGGTTTCCCCATCTGAAACAGGGGCAGGGGGATGATAACGAGTTGTGTCGAGCTGTAAAGGAGTGACAGAGGTAAGGCGTTTAGAACCCTGTCTGCTAACGGGTGGACACTCGGTCCCTATGAGCTCTGACTGCTCCTTCTCTCTGAAATCACCCTCAGTACAGAACGGACTGGACGCTGTTTTTCGGGAATCTTCGTCAGAACCCTCCTCTGATATCTCGTCCTGGGTCAGTGATCCCAATGAGTGGGTCCTGTCCTTGTATGTCAAAACCAGTCCTGAGACAAGGGGGTGGGGCCATATATTCAGGAATGGCCTATTGGAATGGACTCCGGATATGTGGGTGCCACGTTAATTCAGGTGAAAGGCAGAGATCCACACCTTGGTGTGGTCCTGGTTATAGTTACCACCATCACAGAGAAAGCTCGCTGGATGCCAGACGTGGCACAAAGCTCTTGCATTTACTAAAGTGTCTTAAAGGAGTGAAGCAAAACTCTTGCCTTTGCTCAAATGCCTGGCAGTAAAGGCAGGATTCAGTCCTGGATGGTTGGACCCCAGAACCCATAAATTCAACCCCTACCCTAACACAGACATGCTCTGAACGTTGTCCTCAATCCTGCCGCCTTCCTGGTTATTGGCAGTCAGTGACATGGATGGTATATTGTCTCCCGTGTCTTCCCGTGAAATTCCTCCCCTTGTCTATACATAGTCCTTGGAAACTGGAGCCTTTCCACAGAGCTTCTAAATCGGTATGATGTGTTTCCTCAGATGTTCACATTAAGTTT